TGTGTCTGTCCTCACAGAGGCACCAGGCCTGCATCTTTAGTTCATCTCAATATAGCATCTCAGCTCTTCTAGGAGCTGCAAACCCAGAGTCGTTCAGGGAGCAGGAGGGCTCATCAGCAAGGTGCTCACTGCTTGGAGCTTATCTTCAGCTCCATTAAGATGAGACCACGCCCAACACAGGCATGTCTTCAAGATGAACATGGTTGTGAACGTGTGCATGCCAAAACAGCCGATCACAGAGAGAAGGAAGACAAAATCATTATATCCACTGGGACAGGGAGTGGAGAAGACACAGGCTTCCTGTTTATGCCCAACACAGTGGGAAAGGTGATCACTGTCCTAGATGCTAGGGGTTAGCTTTGTGTCCTAGATGCTAGGGGTTAGCTTTGTGTCCTAGATGCTAGGGGTTAGCTTTGGCAAGGCTTCTGGGAGGAGTGAAATTGTAGAACTGAGAGCCACACAAACTCAGATGTTTCACATCTGGAAAGGACCCTAGGCATATAGGCTGCCTCTCTCATTCCAGACACTGGGGAGTTAGTTTGTCCCCGTCATGCATCCAACCGGTGGCCAAGCTGGGACTCAAATCCAGGTCTTCAGTCTTCCACTACATCAGGAAGTCCCAAGTTTTTACAGCCCAACCCCTTCATCAGTGACTCCTACCTACCTCAAGCAGCCACTGCCCGGCATTCCATGTTTGAAAAAGTACTGTATCTGCCAAAGAAAGTACTTATAGTAATGAGAATTGAACTCATTAACCCATTTTTATTCATTGAAATGACAGACTTTTGTTTCAGACAGACTTTCAGACACGAATCAGACTTTCTCATCATCTTAAGATCTAACTAGGATTACCGTATTGATAGGAGAAAGAGACTCAACTCTGGTTTTTTAAGTGTTAAAAGTCATGATGCCACCCCTTGAAATATTATTACCTTCAAAGACTCTTAAGGAAATATTAGAGAACCCAGGCTGGGAATTAGTGCGCAGTATCGTCCTGTGTGGTCTAAGGCCCTCAGGGTCATCTGTGCCCCCAGTGGACAATTTTACTGTAGCTGCCCACCTGAAGACCCCATTCTCCCTTACACTCCTCTTCCCACTCTCCTCCCTCCCTCCTTTTCTGTCTCATAGTTTGGATCTGCCGTAGGGCATAAGGCAAATCATAGCCACATTTATGTAAACAGTCCCAACAATAGATTAGAATGATTATACATGTAACTGGACCCCTTTTATGAATCAACTATGATTTTGAACCTAATAGAGTTTAACAAAAAGATATTTTAGATCAATGACAGACAAGAACGTAGACCAAACTATCCTATATCAAGTATTTGTGAGACTATAACACATAAATGTTTCTTTTTGTAACTGAATAGGGTCTTTCACTTGCCCTGAAGCCAGACACCACACAAACAATTAACATAGTCTCAAGATTTTCATTTCTCGGGTCACGTAGAAAATGATAAACAGAAGTAATCTGGTTGAAATGAAGAAGCTGCTGGTGGTCTCTGGAGGTACCTGGCCTCTACCCTGAGTCAGCATTTTGCAGACCTACACCCCATGTGCATGTCGCCACATGAGAAGCTCCTAATTAACATAATTATCTGTGAGGATACGAAAAGTCTCATGATTTTTTAATATTAAGTGACAGCAAGAGAATTAATAAAATCCAACTTCCATTTCTGATTAAAAATCCTGGGAGAAGAAAGTGCTCATGAAACGTACTTTTAAGATTTAAGTATAGGGGCACCTGGGTGGCTCAGTCAGTTAAGTATCGGGCTCTTGGCTTCAGCTCAGGTTACAATCTCATGGTTCATGAATTCGAGCCCCGCATCAGTCTCTGTGCTATCAGTGCAGAACCTGCTTGGGATTCTCTCTTCCCTTCTGCCTCTGCCCCTCCCCCTGCTCACATGTTCTCTCTCTCAAAATAAATACATAAACGTTAAAAGATTTTAAATAAATAAATAAAGATAAAATAATATTTAAGTGTAACCCTTTTTTAAAATAAAGATATAATCTTTACATGATCATCTCTACACCCATCATGGAGCCTGAATTCACAACCCAGAGATCGCGTCACTTACTCCACCAGCTGAGCCAGGCGCCCCGTGTGTAAATGTTAATTTGAGACCCATTCATTTAGGACCTAACAACGTCCGCAGCATGAATTCCTCTCATGCTTTGGTGACTGGTGCCTGCAAGGGGGCTTACACTTCAGGAGGTATTTCCACCGCCCAGCAGCTCGAATACAGCTTGAATACTCCTTCCTGAATTGCTCTTTCATTCTGGAGGAGACAGTGAGAGAGGCACTGGCCTCTGTGATGGTCACTAAGCAACTGGACAGGCAAGGAGAGGGTGCAGCTCAGAATGGCCCCATGGTCCTGTCTGTCTACCATGTCGGCCAAGCACGACTTAGCCCAGGCCGACCACAGCAGAGTCACATGAGGCAGAAACGTGCTCAGCCTGCCTGTTGTTGAACTCAGAGGACCAGCCGCGTTGCCCTGCTTCAGAGCTTGGCTGGGTCCGTGTCTTTGTGTGGACGATTCATCCTAATGAGACGCAAAGATCCTTAGTAGCCCTCCTCCTGTCATCCCTGGAAAAGGGTTTAGTCCCCGGGAGCCAGGCTCAGACTCAGTCTGACATCTTATGGAGAGTTCCGTCTACACTCCATGGAGGCACAGGGATGATCTGGGCCACACACCAAATCCCATTCCTCTTTGGGAAAGCGCTTGACCTCTGGACTCCGCAGAGAGGCAGGTCTGCAAGGGGCACTCGGGTTTCCCCAATGCAAGTTTGAGCCATAAAAGGAAATTCTTACTGGCTCTAATTGTCCCCAGCCCAGATGAGACAAATGACGGCTTCTTGTGATAGAATTACTCAAGTATTAGCCTTGCTAGGGATGAGACCCACATCAAATGTATTAGATGTTGAAGTTCACTTTATCTTAGAAAATGGTAATCATGCAAATGTAGGCTATGCTATTAGAATATGTTTTAGGTTTGGAAAATTGCATCCTTCTCTTCCATACCGGATTGGCTTATGGTTACTAATTCTTGAAACTGCCAGAGACTCCAGGCTGATTAAGGTTTGCACAGACCAAACAGATACTTCCTACCTCCCAGAGCTTTGATTAGGTCCAGATCATGGCTTCCAGACTGTGTTCTTCCTCAGAGGTCCGTTAGGACTGCTGGCTGGTGGTGGAGGTGGGGTGCTGGACCCCAGGGTTTGTCTCGAGCAGCCGCTCTTGTTTGTGGAATATATTGGGCTGCTGGAGGAAAGGATTCCACGGCTCACGAAATTGTGGAAGCCACTGCCCTAAATCACAAGTTGTTGTCATGAATGTCTATATACGAGGTTCCCCAAATGCTAGCTGTGCTCCTTTCTCTCTAGTCAAACAACATGAGGTACATAAGAAAATGTTAAAAACGTCTTTCCCCTTACTCCCTTCCAGTTCTGTTCTTTGAAGATAACTGGTGTTGACCGGGTGATACATATCCTCCCTGGCCTGCCTTTCTGTGTCTGTGCTGATACCCTTAATGCATCTTTCTTTGTGAAAAATTAGATGTTGAAGCTCATACACACAGAAAAGCAGAGGCCAGTGTAATTTATCCCCTGTATATTCCTCCCCCCCATTCCAATAACTGTTAAAACTTTACAACACATGCTTTATCTATTTCTTTCTCATGTATTTTGATTTTTTATTTTGTTTTGCAAAAATGGCATTGTACTATACATGCTATCTGGTAGCTTGTTTTTTACTTAACCAGTTTTTTAACGTTTATTTGTTTTTGAGAGAGAGAGAAAGCTGAGCAGGAGAGGGCCAGAAAGAGAGAGACAGAGGATCTGAAGCAAGCTCTGCGCAGTGAGCGCAGAGCCCAATGTGAGGCTCGAACTCATGGACTGTGAGATCATGACCTGAGCTGAAATCAAGCATTGGCTGCCTAACTGACAGAGCCATCCAGGTGCCCCATTAACCATTTTACGAAGTATTCCGCGGGGCGCCTCGGTGGCTTAGTCGGTTAAGCGTCCGACTTTCGCTTAGGTCATGATCTCGCGGTTCGTGGGTTCGAGCCCCGCGTCGGGCTCTGTGCTGACTGCCAGCTCAGAGCCTGGAGCCTGTTTCAGGGTCTGTGTCTCCCTCTCTCTCTGACCCTCCCCTGCTCACGCTGTCTCTCTCTCTCTCCTAGAAAAAAAAAAAAAGTATTCCGCATCAGCTTTTTTACTGTGCGTTTCAGTGGCTCTGTAGCTTTCCATTGTACGCTTCAGCCACCATTTACTCAAACACTCCCCTGTTCTTGGAGTCCAGGCTGCCTCCGGAATGTTTGCTACCTTATAAGTAACTGCAATATCCGTGTGCACAGGTTGTTACACATTGGTGCATTTATTTCTGTAGGATAGATTTCCCAAGAGTGGGATGGCAAGATCATGGGCTATCTATACTTTAACTTGTATTAAATATTGCTAAAGTGTATTCTCAAGAGATTATAGCTGGACAGCTTCCACAGTGACCTATGGATAAGCCCACGTCTTCATATTTTTGACAGCCCTGGATGTGATTGCTCATTAAACTGTTGTAAATCTTGGGGCGTCTGGGTGGCTCATTTGGTTGAGCATCCGACTTCAGCTCAGGTCATGATCTCACGGCTCATGGGTTCGAGCCCTGCATCAGGCTATGTGCTGACCGCTTGCTCAGAGCCTGGAGCCTGCTTTGAATTCTGTGTCTCCTTCTCTCTCTGCCCCTCCCCCACTTGTGCTCTGTCTTAGTCTCTCAAAAATAAGTGAATGTTAAAAAAATTAAACTGTTGCAAATCTTTTCTGTAAAAGGGTGGCGTAACATTGATATTTTACATGTGTCTGTGAATGGATTCTTTTTCTGCATTAATTTCATAAATTATATCTTTGCAATCAATATTTGGGGGAAGATGGCCATTAGGAACATCTGGAATAGAGGGCCAGAGGGAAGTGCCTTTTGAAGACCAGCCACTGCTCTTTGTTCCCATCAGTTTGCACAGCGGAAAACGGGTGCTGGCCGCGTGGTGCACATCTGCAATCTCCCGGAAGGAAGCTGCACAGAAAATGACGTCATTAACCTGGGGCTGCCCTTTGGAAAGGTCACTAATTACATCCTCATGAAGTCTACTAATCAGGTAGGTCTCGGCACTTTCACGCTGGTGTATACCAGACAGACCCCACATGGGTGGGAGGAAACTGTCATTTTTTTAAAAAAAGAAGCTATTCTTAGAGAGGTAATACATCGCTGGCCTCTTGCTGGGACAGCACAGAGGTTTTGTCGGTGGTAATGTTTTGTTTCCACTTGTCCCCTTTTGATGGGTATAGGCCTTTGTGAGTTGTCTAGAGGTAGGGCGGTACTTCAGACTGAGGTACTCCTTAACACAGAAAAACTAACTGGCCCCGCAAATAGAAATCCAGGGCCATGAGTGTTTTCACTGTTATGAACCCCCAGAGCTAATGCTAGAAGCTTCTCATATCTGAGCGCCTGTGTTTGGAGTGAGCCAACAGCTAACTGGGAACAGGTTGTTTTCACAGATCTTTAGTGTTAACGTCAGAGGCCCTTGGGTCTTATAGCAGGAGAGTGGGTGGGAATTGATGGGGGCCTGGTAAGTCTCAAGGACAAAGAACTCTTAACCTGTGGGGATTGACTGAGAACTTGAGGGTTAATATGGTTGTCTTCACTTCTGAAGTCAAAGGAGGAGGTTATACCAAGAAATGGTCAGAAACAAGAACTTAAAAAAATAATATTTTATCTCTTATTGTTAATAAATATTTTTACTTTATGAGCCAGAGGAGCAGACATAGAAAAAGTTCGTTTCTTAATTAAGGCATGAACTTTAGAGACTCAGAGCCACATGAGATCATTGGTGGTCTTTCTCCATCAACGTGGGCTTAGGCTACTCACTCAGTCTCTTTGTTCTGACTCTTTTGGGTAAATGTACAAAGTGCAGCTTGCAACATTAATGTGGTGAGAGTCACTGAATTAGTATTATTCCCATTTGACAGTTGAGAGCTGGAGGTGCTAAAATGTTTGTATCAAGAAAGAGGCACTTAGAAAGCTGGGTGGCAGAATCTGAAATAAAGCCCTAAAGAATCTTGACTTGTTCGTCTCCCACATATCTGCCATAGACTGTGACGGGAGGGAAAAGCGTCTCGGAAATTCAAAAACAAATGTGCGGGAACGATGGGGAATGAGCTTGGTTAGCCCACTCAGATCAAGGAATTGGGAGTATAAGGGCTCACAGAGAGGGCTCCCTTGTTACGGACCCCTTTTCCTTTCCAACATCAAAGGATCAGATCAGTGCACCCATCGGTATAGTACAAACGACTCTAAGTTAAACGGTAATGGCAGTGAACCCACCACAGCAGCTATTGGGGTAAACCAGCAGGTCAGTCAAAACAGTCTATTTAGAAGCTCTCTGGAGACCCTGATTGAATGCCAAAGCCTGTTTCTTTGTGTTTTATCCAAACAGTTAAGTAAGGAGGGAAAATGCTGTGGAGCTATAACTGAGGGTTTTCTTCTCTCTGTAATTCAAAAAGGCATGGCCTTCTTTCAAGCCTTGGGAGCCCCAGAGTTGTTTAGTGTTTTCTTTCTTTGCAAAGAAAGTGAGAGCTCAGATACCCATGGCTGTGTCTCTGTCTTCTGCCATCATCACAACAAAATAGAACATTTCGCAGGGATCTGCCAAAACGTCGCTTGTACAATGGACTCACTGTCCCCACTATTTCTCCTAAGGGTACTGTGGGCTAATAGACCCTCCCATTCCAGGGGGGCTCCTGTGGGATGATATAGCCCAGGATGGATATGCAGCATTTAAGAATCGTTGGTAACCATGGGGATCAGGAGAGGGGCCATCCTATAATGAATTCTTTGGGTGAAGTTAATAAATAGGTCTCTTTAAACAGATGAGATCAAAGAGAGCTCTTTTACTGGTCTTTTTGCTTTTTATTGAAGTATAAAATATATATTCTAAAGTATACTAGTCTTAAGTATACAGCTTTTCTACATGTTTACCCCCACGTAATTATCACACAGGTCAAGGTGGAGAACATTTCCAGAATCTCAAAAGGTTTCCTCATGCTCCTCCCAGTCAGCACCTCAGCCCAGAGGGGAGCTCAGCTCCAGCTTCTATCAGCATCGATTCCTTTTGCCTACTCTTGAACTTCATAGACACAAAGTTACACCTAGTACTGAATTTTGTTGAAGACCATTCAAGTCAACTTCAGTATATGTCCTTCCATTTTTTCCTAGGCCTTTTTAGAGATGGCTTACACAGAAGCTGCCCAGGCCATGGTCCAGTATTACCAGGAGAAATCTGCTGTGATCAATGGTGAGAAGTTGCTCATTCGGATGTCCAAGAGATACAAGGAGTTGCAGCTGAAGGTAAAGCATTTTCTCATTGGTCAGTCATTCAGCAAGCATCAGCTGAGCATCTCCTTGTTGGGCGTTGGCCAGCATGTTGGTGGGAAGGAGAGGACAGGGGAAGATCCCCAAATCACCCATTGCCTTTGGGGATATCAAATGGGAAGTCCAACCGTTATAACATGGCACAAAATATGCTTACTGAGGTAAGTGCAAAATGCAAAGGGATGTTGGGGACAGGATGACTAGCTACCTGGGGCCCAAGGATTCTTCAGGGGAAGTCTTGAAGGATGAAGGAAGAAGGGGAAAGTGGTTGCATTTCAGAGGTGGCTGCTCTGAGCATAACCCCCTGAATAGTACTTCCTTTTCTACACGTATGGGTCTTCAGTAATTTTCACTTCCTCTCTCACCACTACCCTGCCATGATCTTTCATTCTCTCCTCCATCCTCTGTAATTATATCTTAAGCCCCATAGGTATCCTTCTAAGCAACACATGACTGAATGGGCCACTGTCAGAATGACTATCAGAGATGAATTCAGATCATTCCAAACAGGGCTTTTGCTTGTTTGTTTTAGCTTTTTTACATTTCTCTTTTCTTCATGTTTCTTTTCTTTTCTCCTTACTTTATTGTGATGTATAACATACATTCAGAAAAATGACTAATTATGTATTGTATAATTTTTAAAGGTGGTCATGGTTGAAATCCCATAAAACCACCACCAAAGTCAAGAAATAAGACACCAGCGGCACCCAGAAGTCCCTCTGAGTCCCTCCTCAAGCTTTTCCCCTCCCTCTCCACCCTCCTGACTCAGAGGATGATCATTTCTTTGCTTTTCCTTATAGTCGCTTACGCCTCCCTGAAGGTTATCCTTTAGTTTTGCCTAGATTTACATCCCTACTAGAGTCAGAGTGTTCAGTGGCCTACATTCTTGCTAACATTTTATCTGACTTTTTAAGTTTTGCCTGTCTTGGGAGAGTATACTGGTTTATCATGGTTTTATTTTCCTGATTACTAATTGAGGTTGAGCCCTTTTTCCTATGTTCATTGGCTATTCCATTTGCATCTTCTGTGGGGGAAAGTTTCTTCTAAAGTCATACGCCCATGCTTTTCTTGAGATTGTGTCTTCTAAATGGTTTGCAAGAAGGAGTTCACTTAACTGGAGCACTTAGTCCATTTGGGTTTATGGTAACTATTGCTAACTGTGTATTTTTTTTTTTTTTTATTTTAGAGAGAAAGAGAGAGCATGATTGGAGGAGACAGAGAGAGAGAGAGAGAGAGAGACAGAGGATCTTAAGCAGGCTCCATGCTCAGTGCAGAGCCTGATGTGGGGCTCAATCCCATGACCCTGGTATCATGACCTGAGCTGAAATCAAGAGTCCGATGCTCAACCGACTGAGCCACACAGGCACCCCGTATTTGTATTTAAATCTACATGTTATTTTGTGCTTTCTACTGTCCCATTTTAATAGGGATCTTCCATTTTGCTTCAGCTTATTCCATATTTACATAGGGGTCCATTTGGTTAAGACCCACAGCCCTTAATCAGCCTCCAAGGTTGAAGGCAGAAGACAGAGGCTAGGTGGTTGTTGCTAGGTTCTGACAAGTCCACATATGCGCGTGGTAGTGTGTCAACCTGTTGCCAGGTTGCAAAGCTATGATTCAGCTTTGCTTGCAATTATTGCTTAGGAAGATCCTTTGCCAACAATTGTAGCAGAACCTGGCTTTTTTTTTTTTTTTTTTTCTGGCAAATGAGAGCATGTTGCTTCTCTCCAACAAATGAAAGGTCCTGTCCCATTATGTACCCGGCCAGAATTCCTGTTCTCCTGGATTCTCCCCCGGAGGCTACAATTGAATTTCTGCACTGAGTTCCCAGTGGATCTGTGGTGTCTAAATGAGATGTTGTTGTAAGATTCTAATTAGGATTAACAGCAGTACTCAGCTTTTTAAATTAAAGTACTAAGGTACCGCAGTACCTTACTGAGGGAGATAGTTTGGGATGGTGCAAACACCATGGATTAACGACCTCAAGGTCTGCATTCAGCAGATGTTCACTGCCTGCCCACTGGACCAGGCACCATGATCATAGACATAGCCAGCTGCTGGAGGAGCTCACAGTCTGGTACGACGAAGAACAGGAAAACCACACCATCGCCAACCATGTGACCTAGTCCAGATTAGAGGGTGGTGGTGATGTGGCCTAGATTTTACCCCTTTCTGCTTTGATGAGCTTGGACAAGGTGCTTTAAGTCTGTGAACCGTAGGTGCCAGATCAGTAAAGGATTCCACCTTGAGTTCTTTGATTTGAATTACGTTTTATTTTTTCTCATGTATTATCTGAGTCTTGCAATCACCTTCCCCTGTGAGGTGCGTAGGGTGGATAATAGCAGTAATTATAACAGTACAACAATAATAACAAGAATAATGTACCTTTAATTGAGTCCTGGTACTCTGGATCAAGTCATGTGCCAAACACTTTAGATACATTATCTTCTGGATTCCTGACATCAGCCCTGTCAGACAGATATTATCTCAGTCTTACAAGTAAGGAAACCGAGGCTCATAGAAGTTCAGTAACTTGCACAAGATCATAGTTGCTGGAAGAGCCATGATTAAAACCTAGGACTGTTTTGGTTTTGTACTATATCCGCACCTCTGTATCGTGTTAGTAGGATCTCCCTTCTCCACGTGAGAAATCAGGTAATCTGCTTACAGTCTCCCAGCTAGTAAGCAGCTTCTCAAACTTTAATGTGCATCCAAGTCATTTGCAGTTCTTGTTAAGGTTTCTGATTCAGTAGATCTGGGGCAGGGGTGGGACTCTGCCTTTCCAGCAAGCTCCCAAGAGATGTTGTATGTGTCTAGAACACGTTGCCTACCTTTTAGGAAGGATGTTCTGCTTCCCAAGCTGCCACGAAGCCTCTGTGGGAAAGCATATCAAAACCTACTTCATCTACATAGCCATACATGCATCACAGCCCCTGGGTTGACATGAGTCAGCTAGGACTTTCTCTGTAGGTGACGGAAATTTGTCTCATGTAAGCTTATTGACTAAAGTAAGGAAAGGCATTTATTGGCTCACGTAAATACAAGCCCGGGAATAACCCTGGCCGCAGGTACAGCTGCATTCGGGGCCTAAGTGATGTCATTAGGACTTGGCTTCGCTCCACTCCGCCTTCTTTCTGTTCACTTTGCTTTATTTTGGGGTCTCCCTGATGGCCCCCGGCTCCAGCCTCTAGGTGGCGTGGTGGCTTCATTGACTTCAGCAGCTCTGGCCTCCCGTTTCCTTCAACAACAGTGCCAGAGTTTTTCCTAGTAGCTTCCTCGTAAGTGGTGAGAGGCCCTGTGCTCGAGCTAGTTTGGGACACATGTCCTTCCCGGAACCAACTCTGTGGCCAGGGAAGGCCTTGCTCTGACTGGCCAAGCCTGTGTCACCCCAGAGCAGGGGCGGAGAAGGGAGAATGGCCTACCGGGGAGGCAGACAGTAAAAAACACTGGATCCATAGGGATCCCAAGGGGCCACTGCTTGAGGTCCCACCAGGATTTGCAAAGGTGGGGGAAAATTTCGATTGGTCTTTTCCCTCTAACTTTACCTTGTGCTCACCAGGCAAAGTGGAGGGAGAGGAAGGAGAGGTTTAAGGTATCGCTCATCTCCTGCCTTGAGTATTTCCTCGTGCTGGTAATCATGTCTCTCTATACACTCTCTGTGGCAAAGGCTCTATTCCTCAGGGCATTTGGGTGGGGGCCTTTCACGTAATGGGTGTCCAACAAATGTATGAAATGGATGAGGAAGAGTTCATTTGAAGGAACAATAAAACGTGATTTTTTTCTTCCTGCAGATCCAGACAAGAATTATGAGCTATTTTCTGGGTGGTTCCACAGAGACTTTTCCAGAATCATAGCATCTTACATGCAGAAGGGAACTTGGGATGGTTTCAAACAGCATCTCCCAGTTATCCAGGGAATTTTCAGGTTCTCTTGACCAGAGGTTTCCCGTCAGTAGATTTGGGGTGGGATTGAGGGTCCAATGCAGTTCAGGGGCAGAGGGCTTGGTTTCAGAGCCACTGTTCTTGCCAGCTTCCCCACCACAGAGAGGGTCTCTGGCCCTGGGAAGCAGTTGTGTGTGTTCCTGTGATGCTCACAGGAAGATTAAATCAGCAGGTGGTGACTGATGTCATGTAAGATGTGGTGCCGAGAGGGACAGCTGATGGGAAGCTTGGTCCTCACTTGGGGAGAGTTTGCTATGTAGCTGAAGAGGCAAGCTATTCTTGTGGACACTATATAAGACTTAAACCTGAGTGTGTACGTTTGGGAGCTCCTAGAAGTTCAGTGGCAAAAGGCAATGTGACTTGGTTGTGTAAAGAAGGGAAAGATGACTGAGTAGGTCCTTGAAGGATGAGGTGAGTCAGATAAGCTGAGAGGGTGTCCAGGCAAAAGGAGTCAGGTAAGGATGGAAGCAGACCCTGGAAAGCACAGTAATGTTGCAGACTATCAGCGCTGCTGTGACAAGGTCTGGCTGTGACAAGTTCAAGGCTCATCTGGAAGGTTTTAGCGTCTTCCCCGGACTCTTGAGGCGTGGCATAGAAAATGGCCAGAGGGGTCAGAGGGTGTGGCTCCTTTCATGTTGGCCCAAAGCCTGTGGCTTTTATCAGCCTAGTCTGCCATGCCCTGAGGCTATTGGTAGATGCCAGATGGGCCTCACTATCTCACCTTTATACATGGAGAAAGTGAGTCTCCCACAGACACCAAGCCTTGACCCCAGATCACCCAGGCAGCTAGAGGCAGAGCTCAGCTGTTCTTGCTGGGTTGAGATGCTCAAGTTGAGGTACATCCCCCTGAGTGTGCCGGCACTTCCCTGGGATGGCCTGGGGCCTGGACTCTCCTTTGTCTTAAACAGAGCAAGATGTGTTGACCAGAAGCACCATGGATGGTTCCCTGCAGGACTATTAGGCCACCTCCGTGTCCTCGTAGAATGGATGAGAAGATATCATGTCTGAGATTTGCTTCAGAATATTCTGTGGGGTGGGGAAAAGGGGTCAGGTATAGATGAACTAGATTGGTCAGGATTGTTGACAATGGAAATGGAGTCGGAGGGTTCAACATACCAGTCTCTGTGCTTTTGCACATGTTTGAAATGTTCTATAATAAAAAGGTACCCAAAATGTCGGGGCCGCTCTCTTCAGCATTATGCTCACACTCATTCCCTGGATTAAACTTCTTCTTCCTCTAAAGTAGTTTTTCCCCTTGGGCGGACCAGGCAGTGGACCCAAGTCCTTGCTGTTTCCCTTTGGCATTTGTATTGCTGTCTCTGGTCTGATGACGACCTCTCTGACTTTGCCTAGAAACCTGGGAAAACAGTGGCCGCCATCATCCAGGACATGCATTCCCAGAGGGAGAGGGACATGTTCCGGGAAGCAGACAGGTGAGGCCCCCACTTTGGGTGTCAGGGCAGATTCTGGGTGGTTGGGACACTATTTTGTCTCTCATTCTTAGGGATGTGGAGTCACACTGTGCCCTGCCCTTGCCCCTGCCCTGTCCATCAGCCTTTCTGGGCCCTACTTTTCCACGTACCTGATGGAAGGCATCAGTGCGGTCCAGAACTACTGCTCAGGTTAAGCCTCAGGAAAATGCACCTCTCATCTGCACCTCCTTTGTTGGAAAGGAATATAGGAGGGATTCTTTTGGTATTTGGCCCTTTGGGCTGCTAAAACAGCCTGAATGAAAGCCTGTGTGTGTGTTTGTGTGTGTGAGTGTGTGTGTGTGTGAGTGTGTTGTATTTAGAGTCAGCTGTTGGTTTTTCATGAGCTGAATGTAGATATAGGAACAAGAATGTAGGTGAACCCCCCAAAAGTAGTGACTTGACCAGTCACCTACTCTGAACATTGAATGCATTCTGTTTTCCAACTCATTTCTTCCTACTGAAGTCGGGACTGTGTCACGTCAGGGCCACAAGTGTCCCACTGTAGCCACCCTGTGAAGACAGTCGTGTGGAGAGCCAAGGTGGAGACCACAGGAGCCAGCACCTGGGCTGCACGTTCTGTGGCTCTGCCCGGGGCTGCCACACACGGTGCTGTCACCTCGCTGCAGAGGGCTGAGTGCAGGCTGTTTGCCCATTGATGGTCAAGGCAGCCTGGTCCTAGTGAGCCCCACGTGGGTGTCCCCTGGTCAGTGAGGGCCATCTGGTTTTCCTGTATTTAGAAACCAAATGAAAGTTGCCCATTGTTTTAGAATAATGGGTACATGATTGAGTAGATCTGCTTAATCACCAAACAGTCTCCAGAGAGAGAGAGGGTGTGTGTGTGTGTGTGTGTGTGTGTGTGTGTAACTAGCTGCTCAGGTTTGGGACTTCCATTTATTTATTTGAGGTTTTTTTAATGGTTGTTTGAGGTTTTTTGTTTGTTTGTTTGTTTTTTAAGATGCGTAAAAAGGCATATCATGTTGCCTGCAGGTCTTCAGCGGAGTATCAGGAAGAACTAGGCAGATTGAGAATCCCTTTTCTGGGATTCAGTTCCTTCATCTGAAACACGAGTGGGTCAGAGCTCTAAGGTTCCCTCCAATTCTAGAATGCCCTCCTAGTTCTTTGGTTTTGGAATCTCTGATTCTGTCTTCCTCACTCTCGTTCCTCCCAGTAATTAGCATCCTTCTATTATGCCCAAGACCCGAACAAACCGAGATGAGAAAAAAAAAATGGAAGCCAAGAGGTTGCCTTTATTACGGTAAAGGCCAGATGGAGTTGTTGCGTTGGTCTTGTAGTCAAGACGCTGGCTAACTGAACCCCAGGGTTAGGCAGCCTTGCCCACCAGGCCGGACCAGTGCAGCCCCCACCCCAAAAACACACGCCCTGGGGGAGAGCTGCCTGCCCCCTGAATTTAGCTTCCTTCCAAAAGGAAGAAAGATGGAGCTGAGTCAAACCAGTCCAATTATTTATCCCAGTTCCTAGGAGCAGAATGAGTAAAGGGGCAGAGACGGCCAGGACTGTATTCTGGGAAAATCCTTCCTTCTAGAAGCCGGGAGGGAGGAAAAGCTTTCTCCTGCGCCGCTCTCTGTGTTGGCTGGACCACTATGGTGAAGAGCGACCACATGGGGTTGGTGCCCAGTGCGTCCATTCGAGGGCCTGGGCAGATCTGTGCATGGGGGTGGGGGATGTGCAAATCGTAACATGCTCTCCTTTGCTCCTTCACAGATACGGCCCAGAAAGGCCACGGTCTCGCAGCCCGGTGAGCCGGTCGCTGTCCCCGAGGTCCCACACGCCGAGCTTCACCTCCTGCAGCTCTTCCCACAGCCCTCTGGGCCCCACCCGCGCCGACTGGGGCAACGGCCGGGACTCGTGGGAGCACTCGCCCTATGCCAGGAGGGAGGAAGAGCGAGATCCGGGCCCCTGGAGGGAGAACGGGGAGGACAAGAGGGACGTGTGGGCACATGATCGCAAACACTACCCCTGGCAGCTGGACAAGGCGGACTTAGACGAGCGGCTGGAAGGAGGGAGGGGCCACCGAGAAAAACACCCGAGGCCGGGCTCCCCCAGCCCGCTGCACTCCACCTCTGGCTACAAGAGCCGGGAAGACAGCTACTACCGGAAGGAGCCCAAAGGCAAACCGGACAAGTATGTAAAGCAGCAGCAGGAAGGACCCGGGAGGTCCAGGAGGAAGGAGGAGGCCAGGCTGCGGGACACCAGACACCCCTACCCCGAGGACTCGGGCAAGGAAGACGGGCTGGAGCCGAAGGTCACTAGGGCCCCTGAGAGCGTCAAGTCTAAGCAGAGTGAGAAAAACAGAACCAAGAGACCTGATAGAGACCAAGAAGGAGCTGATGATAGACAAGAAAGCAGCGTGGCGGGGAATGAGGTAACGATGCAATCTCTTCCCCAGGTAAGGAGAGGCAGGTTCCCAGGAGAGTAATATTAATATAATGATGATGAACATTTATTGAATGAATGGAACACTTATTGGATGTTTCCTTGTGCCAGGCACTGTACTAAACACTTTGTCTCAGTCAAGTTATTTAATGTCAACAGCAACTGTATGAGGTAATGATGGTAATGATACTGTTACTGCTATTGATAAGGAATCTGAGGCACAGAGAGCTTAAGGGAGTTGCCCAAGGACACACAGTCAGGAAGTGACAGACTGATCGGGCTCCAAATCCCTTGGCACGTGGCTGCCTTTACTAGAAGTTAGGCAGTGACATGAGGCAAAGACCTTCAGTGACCTGCATGTCCAGAGTGGAGGGGCCCTGAGGTGTCGTGGACTCTGCTCAGGGAGATGAGAACTTTGGTCTGCTCCATCCTCTCTAAAGCATCTGCCGACCCTGGGGCTTCGATGAGAGGCAGTAAAGGAGAAGCAGCTGCCACCCACTGCATTACACTGGATGCCCAGGGCTTGGTGTGGCTCCCTGGCTGCTGTCCAGTGTTTTACTTCCACTGTAATAAAAACGCTTGGCAGTTGGCTGGTACCTTTCATCCAAGCATCTGAAAGGGCTTATAACCTGCTACATAACTTCAGTTCACACAGTGGACCGTGAAGACCCTGTGTGAATGGATGACTCTGACTTGGCTTATACTTTCTCCCCAAACCACCTACATTTAAGTAAGAGTGGGATCGGTGGAGGTTGGAGAGGGGGTTCTGCATAAAAACTCAACTTCAGAAACCCTACGTGCGTATCTCCTAGTCTGACTCAGGTAGAAATAAGGAGCTCAATTCTCAAGTCTGTGAATGCTGAAGAGTCACACTTTTGTCCCCTACTGCATTCAGTCCTATATGCATTGGCGGGATGCCACTTTGCCAGGTAGTATGCTAGGCACAGGGAGTCCAAAGGTGACTGGGACATGGTCCAGGCTATAGTGGAGACCAAGGTCTAAGGGTAGAAGGAGAGCTACCAGAAATGATGTACAGTCAGTGGGGCACATATTGGAGTGAAGTAGTGGATGGACTGTTGTGTGGGCATTACTTCTGCACCAGGAGAGGAGGAAAGCAACCGAGAGGAGGTAACATTTGAGCTGGGCCTTGAAAGTGGGGAAAAAAGCAATTTGGGAAGCAGCGAGGAGGGCAAAAGTGAGAAAGGAAGACTGTTTTCAAGAATCAGCGTGGCTGCATCTTTAGGGCATATTAAAGAATAATGTTTTCGAACCATCCAACCACGGCTCTTGTGCAAACATAAAATGAATACATGTCAAAGGTGCTATTTAACGCATTAGTTAACAAGGGATCCATAAGATGTAAAAACTGGTTCAAAGGAGAATCCAAAGAGCAGGTAACACCGAGAGGGGATTGGGAATGCTGAAATGGATTTGCTAAGAGATTGCAGCTAGCCTTTTCCATGGGAGGTCAGTTGCATCTGCAGCAGGTAAAATTGCGCCTCTAGGAACAAGAATCATTTGCACTGTGATCCATCTTCTGCAGTTTGCAGGGTTGTAAAATAGTTCCAGATCACCAAAGGTGCCGACCCCTAAGGACGGGACACCCTGGAGAGGGTGTGCTGAACAGCTAACTGCCCAGCGTCCCATGGAAAGAATACCCTGGTGTCTTTTCACCCATCTCAAAGTTGGCTGCAGTCTTTCCTGACTAGCATAGCACGGGCAGCTCAGGAAATGAGACCAGGGACCTGGGTGGGGTGGGTCCATGAGGCCTTTGTGTGCCTTGCTGAGGACCTGAACTGGATCCCAAGGATCTGTGAACCAGAGAGTGTTTTTAAGCAATGTGTCTATACTTGGGGGTCTCTAATGGGCTGGTGACAGACCAGTGCCCAAGAAGAGGCACAGGGGGACAGAGAGCAGAAGCCCCTTGAGCCAAGGGCTCAAGCCTGGACCTCATAACACATGCCAGCAGCCTCGACCCTGTGTCCCCGTGGCTGAGGGTGGAGCTGCCCCTTCACAAGGCTACCCACGTTTCTGAGAGTCTTCTTTAGTCTCGGCATTGTTCTTACTGTTTTACCTGCCTGCTTCCATCGGTTTGCCCATTTAAGGTGACACATGCTAGGAGTCCTCCCCAGAGCCTTGATAAAAAAAAAAAAAAAAATGCCCAGAAAGCCCCATGGGTTTCCCCAAATTCTGTCTCTTTAGTTGATTCTGCCTCTACTAGCCCTAGAGTGGGGTCGGTAGGGACTTATGGGGGTCCCCAGTGGTTGTTTCTGTGGATTTAGAGCCAGAAAACCCAAAACCCTTTTTTTGATGAAATATCAGTAGCATAGACTCTCCCTCACTGATCTCAAACTGTATCTTACAATCTTGAGAACGACCCGAATCCTCCAAGGGCGCTCCAGGAGTCAGATAATAGGCAGTGACTGAACTTGGAGTCTGAAGACAGCTTGGCTGAGGACGGTGTCCTTGCCTTCTTCTAATATACCAGACACCTCCCACCCCAGGGTCTATACACATGTTCACCTGCCTGGGCACCCCTCCCCCCACCGAAGTCACGTGGCTCCCTCCTCCCCACCTTTGTCTTCTTGTCCTGCTCTCCCCAAGTTTTTCCTGGAGAGAAATCCCACAACATGAAACCACAGTGTCCCAACCCGCTTGTCTTCCTTCCCTGCCAACCTTTCCTAGGTCCAACCTGTCCCCTGATAATGTCTGTCTTTATTTTATTTAGTGTCTGTCTCCTCCAGCCCCCAAACATAATCTCCCACAAGGGCAGGGATTTTTGTCTGGGGTGCTCACTGCTATGTCCCCAGTGCCTAAATCAGGGCTTGACACAGAGAGGGTGTTCAGTAAGCATTTGCTGAAGGAAGAAAGGAATGACTGACCCAGACTCTGGAGACAAAGGCCTGGCTTCTGAGAACCAGGTCACACCCAGTTCTTCTCAGCCTCAATTTTCTCATTTGTGAGATGAGTGTGATCATAAGGCTGTCGTCGGACTTTAATGAGCTTGTGCTCATTCTAAACCTCTAAGATCTCTGGAGAAAGTGTCCATGCCAGAGAGGCCAGTGTGTGTGCTATGCAGTGTTTGTGAGTGGCCAAGTCCACACATGAGACTCAGCCTTGAGCACAAGGCCATTGAAAGAAGGAAAGAAATCAAGTCACTGAGTAGGGTGAGCGTGGGTAGGAAGCAGTCCCCCACCTTACTGGAAGGGCGATCGAGGGTTCTAGACCCAGATGCCTGGAGAAGGAAGCCAGGCAGGGGATACAGACCTGGTAATAAGGGTGAAGCCAACTTGGAGAGAAGGGACCGTGGCCGACCAAGGAGGAGGCGCCTGTCTCCTGGGAGCAGTCAGCCAGTCCTCAGCTCTGTTCTATGGCTGCCATTCAGGAATGCTGTTAAAGCCCCCATTTTTTGAAGAGCAGCACCAAAATCTGGATACCTATGAAATTTTCCACACTTCAGAAACAGTATAGACCAAACATGTCTATGGGCCAGACAGAGCCCAAGATTCCCCAGAATGCAGCCCCCAGTATAAACAGTCCATAGAAGGGAGAAATAGAAAAACTACTTATGCTCAGTTCAGAGCCTAGACAGAGACCCAAGCATGCCAGAGGCACCCCCTCCACCCCCTCCTTCCAGTCTCTGTCGTTTTATTGACCAATGTCCATGGAAGTAACTAGCTCTGGGGCTACAGTTCTGAGTGAAAACCGAAATGACCCTTGAGCTTATGGAGTTCATGGTCTAATGGAAAGACATACTAATCAAATAATTCCTCAAATGAGTAGAAGAGCATGAGTTAAGTGCTAAGAAGGAGATGGAGGTGTATAGCACTGTTAATGCCTGCAGTGAATTAGAGGCTTCCCTGGGCTAGGATGAGACTGTTGAGATTTGAAGGAATGGTGGGTTTCACTGAGCGAAAAGGAAGGAGAGCAGACAGAACAGCATGTGCAAAGGCCCTATGGCTGGAGTCCAGTGTTGCTGGAACAGAGACAGCCAGGGTTAGAACGGTGGGGCGTATGTCTGGTTTGTCAACAGGCCATATCATGCAAGGTTGTAGGCAGATTACAGATTTTTGTCTTCACCCCAAATGCAAGGAGAAGCAAATGAAATATTTCAGCAAGAAGGTATTGTGAGGTTATGACGGTTTTTGCATTGTGGAGTGATCGTTCTTGATTGCCTTGGGGAGAACAGACTTGGGAGGAGGCTATAGAGCAGAAAGGGGAGGCAGAGCTCTGCTTACAACAGTTGGGGCCTAATATCTTAGTCTGTAAGCTGGTGTGGGCAGCTGGGGGCATTGGTTGCATTTATCGGTTTCCCTTAAGCTGCTATTCTCACATGAAGTGATCCCAGGGCGAGGGGCACACTGAAGGCACCGCTTCCCCTTTGCCTGCAGGAAAAAACACCTGGATGTAAATGGTGAGGTGATTTTGACCAGCCAGGCTGTCCCTACCTCTCCCAGCCCGAATTGGGGGGGCTCTATTGTGTTGACCTAGAAGTGTGGCTGCAGGAATTCACTTGGGGAGGGTAAGGATTACTTACTTGGACAAGGGAGGGCCATAGGTAGTTTATTCAGGGAGATAAAAATAAAGAAAAGGCCTCTCCTTTTGGTAGAAGCTATAGATTCTGATGGCTAAAAAGGCATTGGGAGCTGCTTTGCACTTAGGTGAGCTTAGAAGAGCAGAGCTCAGCTTGGAATTTTCCGCTTCAAATATGTGGGGGGCAGCAGGGACCTAAGGATTTCAGCTCTCTTCCCCTGTCTGGTAATAACTGGTTAAACCAGTCAGCCCTGAGCTCCTGCCCCAGCTGGCTCCTTGCCAGCTCATGAGGGGTGTGTCTGGTTGTAAGAAATCAGAACTAGAATCATTTACTCAGAGCCAACCTCAGCCAAAATTGTCAAGAGGATGCAACTCGCCCCCAAGAAAGTCCAGGAAGAGTCCTTGATCTGGTGGCCAAAGTTTAAGCCATGGGAGAATGTTCTCCAGAAACTTCCAAACTGAAGTTTGGCAAACTTTTTCTACAAAGCACCAGACAGTGAACGTTTTAGGCTCTGTGGGCCCAGAGGCCAAAGTGAAGATATTATGTAATCATTTAAAATGCAACTATTTAAACATGTGAAAAGCCTTGTTAATGCACAGATTGAATAAAAAGAGGGGCTAGTTCAGGTTTGGCTTTGCTGAGCCCATTTTCAAGGCTGCTCAGAGGTTCTAATTCTCAAACCAAATACCTGCTTCCAGCTGTTCACTTTGTCAGACGTGAGCACCATCTCTCATGAGGGAGGGACTGGAAGAAGGAAAAAGGGAAGAAATTGCTAGTTTGGGCTGTAGCTCTAGGAAAGAGAGAGGACAGACGAGGGGTGAGAGGGCACTGGTCGGCAGACAACCCCCTTCCTACCCATAAGTGCCCTGGATGGGACTTTTATGGCCAGAGCACATCTTTTGGGGAGATGTCGCCATGATGGTTGTTAACCCCAGGGCCAGTTCACCCTTGGTCCCTTGACTCCTCCTATCTGTAGGTTTCACGACTGTGAAAGCCCCCTGATTGCCAGAGATTTCTGCCAGACTAAAGGCATCAGTCCGGCCATTAAGACATTTCTGTGCCTCCTTTGTCTGTGTGACTTTGGGCAAGTTACTTAACCTCTCTGAGCCTTACTTTCCTCATCTGTAAAATGAAGAACATAGCACCTGCCTCCGAGGGGTTTTGTGAGGATAAAGGAAATGGTGTCTGTGAAACACACTTGGTGACTATTAGCTATGCTCAGTATCGTTTTCTCTTGGCACTCCATCTTTCCTCTGCCACTGCTCACTGTTGGTTTGGTTTGCTCTGTTCTTCCTTTGGTAAGGCTGGAAGAGAGGACCAGGAGGACATGGAAGAAAGCACCGCAGTAGCAGGCAGGCAGGAGAAAGAAACCGAGTACTCTGATGCAGAAAACACAAGGACAAAGGTAACGTTTGTCCCAGGTGCTGGCAGTATAGCCACATCTGCATGATGGCAAGTGGGCACCAAGTCTCAGGAGTCCCCATCCTGCCCCCTGACGCTCCACTGGCTGCGTGGGGTGTGTTCACACCCCACCTGTGATTCCGCGAATGAAGCCGGGATGGTTTTGGAAGAATGGCTTTCCCTGGGATCTTTGCACAATCTTTATTAAGGAGCTCTTTACCGTGTGCCTGAGCTCTGCCTCAGTCTCCAACGACTTGGCTGTGCTCGTACGAGAACACATGTGCCCAAAAAAGACTCAGGCTTCCGAGCCAGGCTCCCAAAATAGGTCCCTTAGGAGGGGCTGGGGGAAGAAGGGAGCTTTGGATGCTCAAGCTGGGGCCCTGACTTCAGTTTGCCCAGACCCTGGGATTAACAAAATGTCTATTGTGCTGGCAGAGGTTATTTTGCTTAATTAAAGTAAAAAAAAAAAAAAATCCACTTACAGTGTTGGGGCTGCCTCAGCAAAAAGAACTGTGTTTGGAACGTGGCCAGCTTTTTGTCTTTCTGGTCAGGAGAGGTAGAGAGATGGGTATCACTGATCTCCGAAATCTGGCTGCTGGGGACATGAGGGGAGGTTTCAGGAGGGGCCAAGTATGAGCCATGGCTATGAAGGTTGCTCCCTTGCCGGGAAAGGGACCTTGGGAGAATTTAGGGGGGGCGGGGCTTTGCTACCATTACATTTAGTGATGGCCTACATGCAAGGAAATAGCTTCAGCAAGCTGATTTATTTAGAGTTTGTAAGTTTGTCATTCATTTATTTTAAAACTGTTTATTGAGCACCTGCTATGTACCAGGGTTTGAAATTCTTTGTGCCATTTTAAACATGGTAGAGTAAGCATTAAGGGCTTATTCCAAATGCTGTTTTGAGCTCCATCCTAGGGATGAATCAGCAATGTGGGGCTTGAGTGGGTTACAGCCCCTGACTACCCAGTAAGTGTTCCTAGGCAGAAGTAAGCGTGCTCAGGATCTTTCTGGTTTTTAGGGGTCCTGTGGTCAAGGTTTGTGCCCTCTGGTTGAACACTAACGCCTGCTTCTCAGTCATTCTCTGACCTTTATTCTGCATTTTTGTTCAGGAACAAGACTGGGAGAGTGGAAGCGAGGCAGAAGGGGAGAGCTGGTATCCCACTAACATGGAGGAACTGGTGACAGTGGATGAGGTTGGGGAAGAGGAAGATTTTATCATGGAACCCGACATCCCAGACCTGGACGAAATTGTGCCCATTGACCAGAAGGACAAAATCTGCCCAGAAATAAGTCCCTGTGTGACGCCCACCTTAGACCTGGACATAACCAAGGATTTCACCAACGAGGGAGTGAAGCCTGTAGGTAACGGGGCTACGGAAATCAGCCTCAAGTCACCCAAAGATCTGCCTTCTGCTTCTACGAGCTGTCCCAGTGACATGGACGTGGAAATGCCTGGCCTAAATCTGGACACTGAGCGCAAGCCAGCTGAACGTAAGACAGGCCTCTCACTGGAGGGTTCAGATTGCTACGAGAAGCAGGCAAAGGGAGGGGAGAGCTCTGATGTTCATCCGGCCCCTCCACTCCAGCAAATGTCTTCCCCCAAGCCAGCAGAGGAGGGGGCCCGGCAGCCTAGCCCACCTTTCGATGACCGCAAGGCCGGGGGGACCCCCGAAGATGGGGCTTGTGAAGGCGGCCCCCCGGAGGGGAAAGCCAGCCCCTGCACCGAAACTGACCTCCAAAGCCAGGCTTGCCAAGGAGTGTCGGCCCAGGGTAACTACCTCCCTTTTCTCCTGTGCGGTGGGGTTGATGGGTCCACTGCTCACCTAGCGAGGTGTGTGGGCGTGTGCAGGCTGGAACGGACATGACTAAGGTTTCAGCCAGCATTAAAGCTGGTGCAGAAAGCCAGCTCCTAAAGGCCCGGTTAAACTGTTAGTGCGTTTAGGCAAATGGTGTAAAGGAAATCAGATAGGAGGCCACATGTTTTCTGAGAAGCAAACTCAGATAGGGCAGACTTCTCTGAATTTACGGGAGCCCAGATGGACCCTGAGAACTAAAGTCAGCAGAAGCTTTGAGTTATCAGGCCAAGGGGCTTCGCGGGTCCTCAGATCAGCAAGCAGCCTGTAAAGGCTGCACAACGGCGGACCACCCAGGCTGTTATTCCTGTGAAGCTTGAGTGAGGGGGTGGGAGTGTGAGCAGCGAGGAGCGGGACAAGGGAAGACCAAGGTGCTGCTCAGGGCTATGGTCTGTTCCCCTCGCTACCATCACAGACCCCCTTAATTCCTGGGTCTGGTAGTGAAACAAGGCTTGTCCCAGACTGTCCCCTGCCTCCATTGCAGGTGATGTTGTATCTGTGCCTGGCGCTATGACATCATGAGAGATGGAGTTTAAAATAGGCTAAACCCTGTCTTCTCTGCCAAGTGGAAACAAAGATCCATCAAGGGCCACTGGAGCGGGGGGGGGTGGGGAGGAGGAGGAGGAGCCCTCAGTGTTCTCCACGTGGAAATAACTAGAGCTCCGTTTCGCAGAAAGCCTGCAGCACTTGGAAGGTTGAAGTAGAGGGGTCGAGAGTTGGGGACAGAAGCCGTTGAGTAAAGGCTGGAAAGGAGCCATTTCCATGCAGCACCCTGCGGCTGGCACGAGCCCATCGGGGAGCTGGAGGTCCGGCTCTCCTCCCTGTCGGGCTGACCTGAGCTGTTTTCCACCTGCGAGTCTCCATGGAAACTACCGTGCGCTGCCTTCTTGTTGCCAGAGAAACACTGAGGCCCGGGCTGTGTCTACAGAAGGCAGGAATAAAGAAAGAGCGGAACGTTCACTTGCCCTGATTAAACCCCTTTAGTTTGCCGGATGGGCCTCAACATGCACTGGCGTTAATGGCTTATTAGCTTCCCCGGTGTTTGGAGTTCATATTTAATAACACCGCTCTACTAGCTTGGGGTGAAAATGGCACTGCCTCTTCTGCCAGCCTCTGCCCCTATACACGTCAGCGCAATTTTTGCCTTTCTGCCTGCAGAGATGGAGTGGTTTCTGAGTTGGGGGGCCAGATGGGGACCCTCCCGGCCCAAAGAGGCAGCAGCCCATCCCCCACAGACCCAATCTCAAAGGTTTGCCACAGGTTCGTGGGTGTGGCATCTTTTTGGCAGTGAAGCAAACTCTTAATTACGGCATTTGGGACCTAAGTAGCAGTCCTTGCCTCAGCTTCATGTTATTAAGCAGTGCAAGGGACCATTCCTGATCACACAGTGCAAGCATAGAATTGCAGGGAATCTCTGAGGTCTGTGTGCTTCATTCGTTCCCTGCCTTGGCTCATGTTTTGCAGAAAACTCCAGGTATGTGGAAATGAAATCTCTGGACGTGAGGTCACCGGAATACGCGGAAGTGGAGCTGAAACAGCCCCTCTCGCTGCCTTCCTGGGAGCCTGAGGATGTGTTCAGTGAACTTAGCATTCCCCTAGGTAGGTAAAACACCAGTCCTTCTTGAGAATTCAGCTCTGGGAAATGAGTTCCATGGACACATCTAGGAGCTCCAGGCAGCTCTTGGTCAATTTGCTGTCATGTTTCACATCTGATGTAATAACCAAGGCACACAAGGTGCGTATCTTTAAAGTTTCTTGCAGTTTTATTCCCCTGTAGTAGACCAGGTACCTCATGGTGTCAGGCCTTGAACAGCATTGCCTTGGGAGCCAGAGCAGAGAGAAACTTGATTTCCCCGTTTGGGAATGCCTTATTCGTGACCACATGGCCTTTATTCAGGCAGGGATCAGAGGCCCCCGTGGCTGCCCAGAGTCAACAGAAATGAACTTCTTCGGCTGTTGGCTTCCCTACCCTCATTGCCCCAGCCCTTCCCAAAACATTTGTTTGTTCTTTAAAGGACCAGCTTCTGTGAAGCAATGATGCTGAAGAGACTGCATTTGGGGCAGACACAATATAGTTGATAGAGGGAGCATTGAACACGGAGAGACCTGATCCCCTTTCCTTCCTGGTCTACTTATTGGATGACTGCAGGACCTCAGACAACCCATCCCCAGGATGTATTTTGATTGTTTTTTCTTCCCAGTCACTACGAGTCCTTTATTAACAAGTCAGTAAAAGAAAGGGAGAGATTGAGATGTAAAAATACTTTTCTTGGAGGCCCTGGGAGTAGAAGGCACCGTCAGAACCCGTCGGGCAGGCAACCCAGCCAGAGGCAGAATGGAGATCGGGGTCCAGGCGAGCAGCTGGTGGGGGGCACTGAGAAGGGGGTGGCTCAGGCCTCAGCCAGGGAATGTTCAAATGCAGAGGCCTCACAGGGAATGATAGGTCAGGGTTCCTGAGCCTTAGTTTTTTCACCTATAAAATGGGATTGCATCCGATTAGTGGTTTTTCAATGGTGGAAGTGTTGCAGGGGCTGGGAAGGGAGGTTAATAGTAAATCAGCTAGGGTACATTTTCAAAAGGGAAAGTTAACTCAAGTCTCAGGGTGGAGTGAGAGCACCTGGGAGCTTCTGATGCCACCCACTAACCCAGTGACTCCCACTCCACATCACCTCTGAGTCTTTGCATGGACTTTGAGAGGTTGGAAAGCAATGAGACCAAGGAGAAGTAGCAGCTGCTTGAGAGAGAGCTTAGCTGGTGTCATTTGGGAAAGCGTCACAAGGAAGCACGAGCATAATGGGTTATGTGATGACCAGTGACCACATGTCTGCTTATTCAGGGAGGGGCTGGTCAGTACAGATGCTCACCCTTTCCATCAGGCTTCTCTTCTTGTTTTCATCTCCTTCTAAACATTTCTTACTGTTTTTACCCTCCAAATGCTCTGTTTTCATAGAGTACGCCTGGGTACTGAGCAGCGCTTGCTAGATAACATGGCACCATGCAAAGCATTCTGAGGCAGTTGAGAAATATAATACAAGTCTCCAAGAACTTGGTATCTGTATGACCCACACAAGCGAAAATTAAGAATAAGTTCTGCTACCTTGTAATTCATGTCTTTCTTTTTAATTGTTTGTCATTCCAAAAAGTGTGAAAGATTATTAGGACAAGTTTAAAAAATAAGAGCCATATAAAGTAAATGTTAAATGTTGTGTCTCTTCCCTCCAGTTTTCTCCCCAGCTCCAGAAGTAGTCATGATCATACCCATGCCCATAGATCACTCTTACACAGAACGTTCTACAATTTGCTTCTTTAAATTTTTTTTTTTTTAATTTTTTATTTCTGAGAGAGAAAGAGAGACAGTGTGAGCAGGGGAGGGTCAGAGAGAAAGGAAGACACAGAATCTGAAACAGTCTCCAGTCTCTGAGCTGGCTGTCAGCACAGAGCCCGACGCAGGGCCCAATCCCATGAACCGTGAGATCATGACCTGAGCTGAAGTCGGACGCTTAACCGACTGAGCCACCCAGGTGCCCCTAAAAAATTTTTTTTTAATGTTTATTTATTTTTGAGAGAGAGAGAGAGAGAGAGAGACTGTGTGAGCAGAGAAGGGACAGACAGAGAGGGAGACGCAGAATCTGAAGCAGGCACTAGGCTCTGAGCCATCAGCACAGAGCCTGGCACGGGGCTTGAGCTCATGAACTGCGAGATCATGACCTGAGCTGAAGTCAGACACTTAACCCACTGAGCTATCCAAGTTTCCTGCTTTTTTCTTTAATTAAAAAATTTTTTTTTTTTTAATGAGAGAGAGTGAGAGAGTGCGAGCAGGAGAGAGGGGCAGAGGGAGAAAGAATCTTATTAAGCAGGCTCCACATTCAACACAGAGCCTGACATGGGGCTCGATCTCACAACCCTGGGACCATGACCTGAGCCAAAACCAAGACTCAGATGCTCAACCAATGGAGCCACCCAGGCGCCCCTACAATTTGCTTTTTTAACTTAACAGTGGGGCTTAGAGACCTCTTGACATCAGTACACAGAGAATGCATTCTTTTGAACCATTGCACATGTTCTGTCCTAAAAGATGTACCATAAATTACTTATCCATTTCTCTGCTGGTGAACATTTAGGATATTGCTGTTTCTTTTCCCATTATTAAAGTGCTTCATAGTTAAGCTTTTATTTTTATCATTTACCATGCAGGCACCATTGCTGGTGCTTAACCTCATGTAACTCTCTCAAAACACCTATGAGGTAGGTAATATTTTTATCCTTATTTTATAGGCTAGAAATCTGAGATGCAGAGTTACAAAGCTGATGATTAGCAAAGATGGGAGCCAGGATTCAAATCTCCATAGTTTGACTCACAGGGCCCTGCTGTCTCTATGCTCTGCTGCCTTCCAAACATGCCCTTACCTTTTGTGCATGCCCGGGGTTTCTGTAGAACGGCATCCTAGACTTTGGGATTGGGTGGGGGGGGGGGGCGGTGGCGTCATGTACATTTGCATTTCACATTTTCATAATTGCTGCTAAATTGCACTCCATAAAGATTATACCAGTTTTCACTGCCCGAGTGAGAATTCTCATTCTCCTCTTCCTTACCAACATTGGATGTCATCAGTTCTTAATCTTTACCAACCTGTTAGGAAAATGGCATCTCATTCTGCTTTTTAAAAACAGCTCTAATGAAGTATAGTTGATGTTAATGAAGTTCACATATTTAAAGTATACAGTAGGTCAGTTTTGACATATATGTACACCCGTGAGACCATTACCACAGTTAGATAGTGAATATATTCATCACCTCTTAAGTTTCCTGATGCTCCTTTGTAATTTCTCCCACCCCACATCTCAATCCCCAGGTAACCACTGATCTGCTTTCTGTCACTAAGGATTAGTTTGCATTTTAGAATTTCATATAAAGGGAGTCGTATGGGATACACTGTTTTTGCCCGACTTCTTTCACCCAGCATAATTATTTTGAGATTCATTAATAATTGTCGGGTATATCAGTAGTTGTCTTCTTTATATTGCTGAGGAATATTGCGTTGTGGATACAGATAAACCACATTTTGTTTATTCATTTATCCCTTGATGGGCATTTGGATTGTTTCCAGTTTGGGCCTTTTACAGATTGTAGTTTTGTCTTGAATGTAGTCTTCAATTAGATTTGAGACCCATTATCTTATCTCAGGGGGTCGGGGTATGGTACTATTTTCCACATTTGACAAGAGAGGAAATGGAAGCCCAGATGCCTACCCAAGGCCACACAACAAGTTCAGGTTAGAACTCAGGGTTTCTAATCTGAGACTGCTCTGCCATTCTGGTTCCTCTGGTCCAGGAAGCACAATGTAGGAAAGGCCATTTTTGTGCAGTGCTTAAGAGCATGGACTATGGAATCTGACTTCCCGGGTTCAAATCCCAACTGGCTAGGAGACAGTGGGCAACCCCTTTAGCCTCTTTCCATTGATTTATTGACTTTTTTCATCAATAGTTAAGGGTAGTAACATAGAAGGCTACCGTGTTCAGGTACTTTGAGGATGAAATGCACGAGTACTTGTAAGGTCTTAGTGTCTTCCAGGAGAAGGTACAGAAGGGTTGTCTGTTGTTATTACTCATTCATGAAGCAGTAATTGAGGCCTACTGTTTCCTCTCACTCAGGCTGCATAACCCTCACTCTCCAGAATCGGTCCCTACTGCAGAGATTTCTAGGGAGGTAGGGATCAACTCTCAGGCTTTGTCCCTGTGGAGAGCAGGGAGGCGAATGGGAATACCAGGATCCGGAGTACAAGGGAGGTGAAGTCCTATTGCTCAGGGACTGGCGTGGGTATGGGGGGAAGGGAGAGGGCACTGCCTGTGAGTTTCAGGCCCGCTCTGGGTGACCCCAGCCATCCTGAGCCTGCTGGGGCCTGTGCTCACCAGACCCAAAGGGCATTGTCTGCAAAACGCAAGCTCCCCCAGCACCCATCCCAGGCTTTGCTAGGATGACGCAGTTGTAATTACCTGGGCCAGAAGCTATTATTAGAAAGCAAATGCAGCTTTAATTGTCCTTCTTAATAGAGGCTGAAAAGCAGGAGGACCAAGTGGCTCCCAGACCGGTTGGGGAGCTCACAGTTTTCTTGACGCGGTAGCGTCACTGTGGCCTTCATGTTCCAGAGGCATCCAGAGGCGGTGCTGGCATGTAGTGCCCAGAGCCACTCCCGGTTACTCAAGGGGGAGTCGCCAGGCATTCGGGGACCCTCCTCAGGATTCTCCTTCCTCAGTGCCATCTTTTAACCTCCTGCTGCTGCCTGACCAGCCGCTGGGCACCAGGCGGGGGCAGGGAAGGGTTGCTGCCGGCCTTTGGGGTCTGGGTTCTCCAGGCGGCCCCGGTGAAAGGTTAGAGGGCAAGAAGGCCTCTCTGGAGAAATGTGTCTGCAAACTATTCGTTTTTGAGCACCAGGCAAAATGAGAGGTGCTGCTCATAATACCCTTCGTTGGGGGTCTTATTTCTGTTTTACAGAGGAGGAAACTAACCTCAGGGAGTTTAAATAACGTACCTGAGGTTACACAGTGTAAGTAAAAGAGCTAGATCTGTCGGACTCTAAATTCCATTTTCCCTCCACTAGTCCGTGGCTTCCAAGCTTGCTTTTTTTTTTTTTTTTTTTTTTGGCAGGGGAAGCCTGTGTTCAAGTGCAGTCTCACCCAGAACCAGCCCCCCCACGGGAGCTGTGCTGCTTGTGTTGAACGGGCCACAGCTGCCAGCTCGGGCACAGCCTTACACCCTGTGGTGGCTTCCCAGGCAGCAGCGCCCCTTCTGCAGGACCGAGGACGGGGGCTAGATGCCCAAGGCCTTACCCCAGGGCCTAAGGGAGACCCCCAGTTTTCTGTGCTGGGACCGCCCTGCTGGCCCAGCCTGCGGCGTCTGGGGGTGGACAGAGGGAGCAGCTCTGATCCCAGGCCCGTGTCTGCTCCACGTGGCCTCCGGATAGTGCTGCTCCTTTTCCAGTTGCCTTTATCTCCCTGTGGAGCAGCCGCAAGGGGAGAGCCATTCTGTGGGGACAGAGGACGGAGGCGGGCCTTGCTTCGTGCTCCTTCGCCACCAGCCTGTTGGTGGGGTGGGAGGGGCGGGAGGGGCGGGAGCTGGCCACCCACAGGCAGGGCAGGGGCCGCTTTTCTGTCCCTTGCAGTGAGGGTGGGAGGAAGGTGAGGAGGGGAAGGATACAGCCTCCCTCTCTCTGGGCAGCGGGCCGAGGGAGGCCCCCTCCCTGCGGGGACTGCTGGAGGCCCGCAGCGACTACGTGGCAGTTAGAGCAAACTGGCTGAGGAGGCGGCCAGAATCAGGCCCCAAACCACAGAGGAGCAATCAGTCAAGGCAGGCCCGGGGCAGGCCTCCCGGGCTCCCCGCTCCCTCCAGGCGCACCCCCTCCCCTGCACACTGATAAGTGGAAAAGAAAATTGTAATTACAAGCCTCAGCTGCTGCTCTTATGACAGGGTCTCCTGAGCGCTCAGTGCTGCCTCCGCTCTGGGAGACCGAGGCAGGAAGGCGAAGGAAGCCCGGACTTGTGGTCACAGGCAGCACCTTGGTGGAGACCTGGCCCGGCTCCCTTTCAACAAGAAGAAGCTGCCGTGTTCCCCAGGCCATGGGCCGCCCCCAGCCCCTCTCTCCCTTCCGCCCCATGTGGCCAGATCTCCAACCAGCTGCTGTCCCCAGCAGGGCAGAGGAGCCCAGTCCCAGTGCCAGGCACTGCCCGAGGCCGCCGGTCTGGAAGCAGGATCTGGGCCCGTTCCTTTAGTTCTGTAATGGGTCCTGCTTTTCACAGCCCTTCTGCGTGCTAGCATTTCACAATCAGGCGCCTGAAGAAACTGAGGCCCTGGGAAATGGAGGTGGGGGGCTGGGGGTGGGGGCGGAGGCATTCATCTGCCTCTCCCCAGGTTCCACCGGCTCTTAGAGTCTGGTCTGTGCCCTCTCAGACCTAGGTTCTTTCCACCCTGCTGCATGGCTTTCAAGAGGAGAACCGTGGGGCTCCTGGGTGGTTCAGTTAGCGGGCGTGTGACTTCGGCTCAGGTCATGATCCCATGGTTCATGGGTTCCAGCCCCGCATTGGGCTCTCTGCTGTCAACACAGAGCCCGCTTTGGATCCTCTGTCTTCCCCTCTTTCTGCCCTTTCCCTGCTCGCACTCTTTCTCCCTCTCTCAAAAATAAACATTTTTTAAAAAAATTAAAAAATAAACTCAGCAGTGGGGATAGTAATTAAAAAAAAAAAATGAAGGAGAACCGTGACCCCCAGAACTCCATGGTGAAGGCTGGAGCGCCACCGTCTCTTCAGATGATTCTTTGGGCTGTGTCACTGCCGCTTTTCTGGCTATTGGGCCATTCTTTTCTTTCCTCTAAATCAAAAGGCCTCCCGGAATCTTGTGACCTCTATTTAGCAAATCACAAATAAAATGCTGTTGGTTAATGGTTCAGATGTAAAGACTGGAGAAGGATGGGAAAATAGTTATGAGACATTATTACATGAAAAAAGGAGGAGACGGAATTGCACTTAGGGTACCATTAAAATTGCTCCCTCCCTCCCCCCCCCACCAAAAGCTCTACCCGTAGATAGTATGGAAGAAAATATTTTGATTGAATGACTGATTTTTCCTCACTTTTGTGTATTTTTAAAATTTTCTTGGGGCGCCTGGGTGGCTCAGTCGGTTAAGCGTACGACTTCGGCTCAGGTCATGATCTCACTGTTTGTGGGTTTGAGCCCCACGTCGGGCTCTGTGCTGACAGCTCAGAGCCTGGAGCCTGCTTCAGATTCTGTGTCTCCCTCTCTCTCTGCCCCTCCCCTGCTTGCTCTCTGTCTCTCAAAATAAAGACATAAAAAATTTTTTTTAAATTCTTTAATTAATATAATTCTAAAACAAAAATGAGAGCCTTCTTTCAGAATCCTGGCCACAGCAGCTACAGAGAAGGGTATAGCATGAAGAAATGATATCCAACCAGTGAGATGCAAGAAATCTCCTTCCTCCTCTTTTCCCTGCAAGCAGGTGGAGCTAGTAGGGGGCTTGGGCCTGCTGAGGCCTCCGCAGAGCGTAGAATTGCTGAGCACGTCACTGCGCTTGCGGGAGTTCATCCCTTCCCTCACAGCCGCCTGTGAACGGGGTCGGCACTATTTTCCTCATGCCTGTTCTGCAGATGAAGAAACTAGGCTTGGAGCAGCTGGACAGCCAGCCAGCCAGAGTCAACAGCAAGCAAAGGACGGGGCGCGTCACTCCCTTTTCCACCTGATGGCTGGCAGGACCAGGGGGGTCTCACATCACCCTCCTAATCCCTGCCTGTCCATCACCCCCATCCTTCTGCAGGGGTGGAGTTCGTGGTGCCCAGGACTGGCTTTTACTGCAAGCTGTGCGGACTCTTCTACACGAGCGAGGAGATGGCGAAAGTAAACCACTGCCGCAGCGCTGTCCACTACAGGAACTTACAGGTAACCAGCGCCTTCCTTGCCGAGCAACTGCAGACTCCCTGGTCTCTGTGTCTGGGAGTCTCTATTTCCTCCGACCGCATGGAGAACTGCTCTTTCCTCGGGCCTGACTCCGCCAGGCTTCTCCCCGTGGTGGCCACCTGCCCTGAGCTCTGAGGGCATTTGTCTCTCCTGCGGTGCTTATAAGACATTCCGTTTGGGCCAGGATTGGGGGTTTCTGCCTCTCTCTCGCCTGTGTAATTCAGGCTAGCGATCACTCGGCCCAGGGCTGAGGCTGAGCCCTTCTGACAAGACCTAGATGTTCCCGATGCAGATATTTCTCTGGGTTTCTGCTCCCCATGCAGTGTCCCTGTGTGCGAGAATGAAAATCTCTGTCGTGTCCTATATGAGTGTTCATCCATCCTGCAGCTGTTCATCACAGGCATACTAGGTACAGATGCTGTTCTGGGCCCTGGAGATAAAGCAACAACAACAACAACAATAACAACAAAGCAGACAAAAATCCTTGCTCTTTTGGAGCTTCCATTCTAGTGTAGGAGATAAGCAATAACTAAAATAAGGAAGTTTTATAGGATAGTAACAGGTGACATATGAAAACTCTACATGCCCTATTTCATCCAATGCGAGGTACCATGAACTGTAAGACACACTACCTTTTTCCGGAGACCAACAAGAAGAAAAATGGTCCAAATCCAACGGTGAGACTCCATCAATTATAAAATACATCTCAATTTCAGAGGTGTTAATGTGTGGGGGGAAACCCTCATCTTAAAATCAATGAATTCACAGTAATATGTTCTATAATATACCCCTAACTAACACGTAGCTGGGGTTTAGTAACCTAACAGGAAGCGTGGTGTATCAGATGCCCAGGGAAAAGTATTTCGTGGCACCTCCTGTTTTTACTACAAGGAGCCAGACTGGCATTTTGGCACAGAAGGCCTCTATGAGGACAGAGCCTTATGGTGGCAGCATGCCCTAATTCCAGAGCAGGCATGACTGTCCCAGTTAAATTGTTGGAGGGGCGGATGTAGCATTTCTTAGCCGGAGATAGAATCACCTGGACAGTATTTGAAAGTATATATATACTAGGTTAGATACTTGGTAGAATTTGCAGGCAGGGGTCCAGGAATACAGAATTTGAGAAGGTTCTCCATATGTCAAATGTGTATCCCTAAGAATTGCAGGTATGGGCCAACTCTCTTGTTTTATAGCTAAGGGAAACTGAGGTCCAGAGAAGCTATGTGATTTATCCAAATCCATGCAGATGGTGAATTACTAGGCTTGGGAACTGATTGCCTGATTCTTTTTTTTTTTTTAATTGCATTTATTTACATTGAGAGAGAGAGAGAGAACAGGGGAGGGGCAGAGAGAGAGAAAGAGAGAGAGAATCCCAAGCAGGCTCCATGTAATCAGTACAGAGCCCAGCGTGGGGCTCGAATTCACGAACCTCAAGATCATGACCTGAGCCCAAGTCAGCCGCTTAACTGACTGAACCATCCAGGTGCCCCCACATTGCCTGATTCTTAATCACTTTCCTTTTTTTACTCTATTAAGCTGATCTTGCAAACTGATACCCGTAATAGCATAGCCTGTGTCACCGTCTGTCACTAGCCGTGCCCAAACTCATGTCATTGAAACCTCTTGATTTCTCTCTGTGGAGCAGCTGCTCTGTGGACAAGGAAACTAGTGAGCCTGGGGCCCAAGTCCTGGCCTCGCCTGGGCTCAGTGAAGGCCTGACCTGGCCAGACCAAGGACTCAAACTGGGCTCCACAGAGCCATCTGAGGGCAGCCATCTACTCTGAAGACATGCTCCGCCTCCTCCACCCCAACAAGTTAAACTCCATAGAATGACAGGACTGAGTGGGGTCTTGGAAATCATCTGGTCCTGATTTTCCCAAACTATGGTCCTCACACCAACTAGCATCTTTTAAAAATGCAGCTTCCTGGACCCGCCCTTCTCCTGCTCATTCATTCCTTCCAGGGCTGGGCCTGAGAATCCTCGTTTTAAAAATCTTTCCAGCAGGTTCTGATACCTCAACAATGAGAGCCTTTGATCTCGTGTGGCATTCTCAGCTGGATTACGTAGCTCTCAAGGAGGCCACACAGCTCAAGGTCACTCAGGAAGTTAGGATACGTATCGGCTTGCCAGGGCCTCTGATTCTAAATCCTGTATTTTTTTCTTCCAGGGTAGTTGGACTGTACTGTGTTCTGGGCTTATGGGCCAAACCCCCAGGCTGCCTTACCTCCCCACGGCATGCCAGAGCCATTCCTGCGGTCCCCAGGCACGTCAGGACCAGACATGGGCTAAGCCTGTGAGGCCTGCCAACTGAGGTTCAGGTTTCCCTGGTACACCTGTTGGGGCGCTGGGGGCCTCCGCCATGGGCTTTCCAGATAAAGTTTCTGTCAGTGGCCTTGACGGAATGTCTCTTGTCCACACAGTCTCGTCCATCACCACACTACCCCAAGTGACATGTGGGAAAAGTGAAGAATTGAGACCCAAGCACAGCAGGTGTTGGCTCACACCTAAGTCAGGCAACTTGTAAACTTAGCACCACCAGGAGGCCTTGAGGTGGGGGTGAGGGGTTCCTCTTCGAGGTAGGAGGCAGCCTCCATCTCTGTGCCCCCTTCGCTGGCTATAACCTTGAGAAAACTCACTCGAATGGCCTGGAAGAACGGGTGGAGTCAAGTGCTGAGAGGAAAATGAGGGGCACCTGGGTGGCTTGGTCGGTTGAGTGTCCAGCTCTTGATTTTGGCTTGGGTCATGATCTCAGGGTCATGGGATTCAGTACTGCGTAGCACTCTGCGCTGCTTGGGATTCTCTCTCTCTCTCTCTCCCCCTCAAAAAGAGAGAGAGAGAGATAAACCAGGTGCCTGCCTGGTTCAGGCCCAGAGCCCACTTGCCTGATGAGCAGTGCATCACCCACTTGCCTTCCTGAGCACACATTCCCTCCCTGAGATGAGGTGGAGGACAAACCAGGCCCTCCGTCAGAAGGGACCCACCATTTGTCTGCTGCTCTCCCCATCAGGCTCACCCACCTCTCAGAGCCAACCAGTCTGTTTTAGAGAGAGCAGGTGCTCTCATGCACGTTGCCTCTTCTGACCCTCAAAAGCACCCCGGGAGGAGGAAGGCATCATTTCTCCCATTTACCAGGTTAGGAGTCAGAGGCCAAGAAAGATGAGTGACTTACCCAGAGTCAGATGCCTGATGCAACTCATGATAAAGGGCAACAGGACAGAGTGTTTATTCTGTGCCAGGCGCTCTGCTAAGTGCTTTACGGTATTTTCCTTGGACCTCATGGCAACCTTACATGGGAGCACTGTTACTACCCGGATGTCGGAGATCTTGGGTAAGTTGCCTCCTGAGAGCTAGGATTTGAACCCAGGTCACCTGACAGCAGAGCCCACACACTGGACCACTGCGCTGGACCGAACCCTGCTGACTCCTAACCCAGTGCTCTGTGCACTGCCGCCTGCTGCCCCGGCAATCAGAGGCCCCAGCTGGGGCCCCAGGCCCTTCTTTCTACTTGTGTCTCACTGCATGGCGTCTAGAATCTCAGGGGCGGCCTGACATTTGGCTGGGGGCCAGTGATAGCGGTGAGTGTTTGGGAGGCCATGTGAGCAGCCCCCTCCTGTAGAACAAGAATCCAGCCAAGGGCTTTGAGGGCACCGCCTGCCTGCCTGCCCGCCAGGAGACAGGCTGTTACAGGAGGCTGCAGTCTGTCTTTCACAATCCTGGTAGAATGTTGCTTCTCCCCTCCCGGAGGTCGGTTGGTCTAGCTCGCCTCTCCTCCCCCTGCCTGTCATACGCACAGCCCCTGGGTGCTGAAGCTCTCCTGCAAAACCAAGTAGAGTCTTTGTAATTAAATGAGCTGTTTTTTTTTTAATGTTTATTTATTTATTTTGAGAGGGAGAGCAAGTGAGCATGAGTAGGGGTGACACACAGAGCGAGAGAGAAGAGAGAGAGAAAGATCCCAAGCAGGCCCCATGCTGTCCGTGCAGAGCCCGATGCAGGGCTTGATCTCACGAACTGCAAGATCATGACCTGAGCTGAACTCAAGAGTTGGACGCTTAACGGATGGAGCGACCCAGGCGCCCCTAAAGGAGTTCCCATAAGAAAAACAGCAGCGCTTGTACTGGCTAAGGGCTTTGGAGGTGTTGGCTGTTCTTAGGATCTGTGTTAAAGACTTGGGGTGGGGGAGCTTCACATGGGTCTGGTAGCCCCAGAAGGAGCTGGGGAGGGTGGGGAATGGGTCCCACCCACTGGGAGACATGACAGGGGAAGAGACTAAGCGACATCCCTTTCCTCTCATTTCCTTTCTGGCCAGGTCACCACTGACCCTCTCCCTTCCCTTCCCTGTCTTCCTGCTGCAGAAGTACTTGTCCCAGCTCGCCGAGGAGGGCCTCAAGGAGACCGAGGGGGCAGGCAGCCCGAGGCCTGACGACAGCGGAATCGTGCCTCACTTTGAGAGGAAGAAGCTCTAGGCCTCTGGCGGCTTCAGCCGGGAGAGGACGGCCTTCTGAGGCGGGGCCTTCCTGACCCCCTGGACAGGAGCTGAAGCCCGAGAGGAAGGCAAACGAGGCCATTGGGGCTTGTTCTCAGAGACTCATGAAATCACCCCTGAGGTGTCTCCCTGGTGAGAGCTGTCACCCGGTGTGTCCAGCCGCCGAGGGCCACCCTCTCTCTCCCGATGATTCTTGTTTCCTTCAACTTGTTTCTCTCTTCTTCCGCCTCCTCCATCTCTCTCACCTTCTGTGCCAAGGGTCACTTATTTTTTATAAAACACAACTCAGGGATTTTCACAGTGCTCAAATTCTTGATGGCCAGCCGGATCCAACGAGCAGGAGCTGTCACAGAAACCCCTGGGTCAAGAGCCACTTCGGGGAGCCTGGAGGCTGCTGTCTGCCTGGCGGCCTGAGCAGGGGGAGCTGAGTTGGGCCCTGCAGTCCTGGGGTGGGGGGAGGGCACCCGAGACCATCATTCGTTGGCGGGAGCCAGGAGTTTCTACAGCAGGACCGCTTTTCCAAAAAGCCCCCAGTTTTAATAACTCTTCCATCCTCTCAACTATTCAACAAGTCCATCAGATTCATGCCTTAAAATAAAGTTAGTCAACTTCACAGAGGAGGAAAAGAGCTCTTTGTTTTGGAACCTCTAAGTTCCCCCCCAAAGTTAGGTCCGCCCTCAGGATTGCAGGAGGTGCCAGGGGTCACTGTGTTCCAGACAACGAATATGTAGATTCACGTCAATAAAAAATGAAAACAGTAGTGTCTTTTCCCTTCAGCCCAGACAGTAGGTGGGTCAGAAGCTGGCCTCCCAGCCACGTGTCCTGTTGCTCGAGACACACAATGACAAGGAAATGGTATCTTGTCTTTGGCTCGCTCTTGGTGCCTGTGCTCTGGGCTCCAGCAGCCTCAGTGGGACGGCTTCTAAAATGGTCTCTTGGGGTCAGGGGGAGGAGGAAGAAGCTAAGGTAAGAACAAGACGGCAGGACTGAAGAGCAGCATTTCAGGATTGCCAGGTATTTATAGGTAGGCAGGAGGTCAAGGGCATTTCAGAGGACCCCGTGTGCAGACTTTGATGTTGAGTGTTATGAAGAATAGAACTCTTCTTTCTCCAAGGTTTTCAGATACTGGAGGTCAGTGCCTTTAGGCCCCAGATTGGAGGGTCTGATGTTCCAGCGTGAGCATTTGGGACAGAGGTGCTGGGGGAGAGGCTTGGCCATAGCCATAGGGAAGACCTCCAGAAGGTCAGGGGGGAGCCTTGTCCCATTTCCACAAGCCGAGCTACTGCCCTGGCTCGGGCCCTGGAAGATGGTTCCCGTGTTTCTGTTCCTGACCACAGAGAGAGAGACTAGGAAGGGATCGTTTGTTTTCTATTATTTTTTGCAATTTTTATAGTAGGTGACATTTTTTTTTAATGGTAGATACTATGTATACTGCACATTCTGTCCTCTGCATTGATGGTGAAAGAATTGAATATTATCTGAGTTTGACACTGACATTTTATCAGTAAGACTGAGGCACAGAGAAGAAGGAAATGTTGCCCATAAAATGATCCTGCATAAATCTTGGGGCACGTGGTCACTGGGGAGGAGGGGGTTGCGGGGAATCTGTCAAAGAGAACAGCGAAGGCAAGTCCAGGAGGCAGACCAGCCAGCCGGGGCACGTGCAGTGAGAAGCTGGAGGAAGCGGGAAGTCTGACCTTGGCATTAGGCCACCTGGGGTCCCCAGAAAGGTTGGGGTCTCGAAGAGAGTGGGCTCTGGAGATGGTGGCTCAGCTCCAGCTGCCTCCACGGGTTTCTACCTGGTGTTCTAGAACCAGCCACCTCCATTTCTGGGAAAACCCCTGACCCTGTTTGTCTGTCTTCCCACATGGGGGATGACTAGGGTCGGCTCCCTGGCCTCCCTGGGAACCTTGCTGAGAAAAGTCTACCACCTCCATCATAGGCTGGGACTGAGCATTTTCAGAAAGGCTGGCAGTCTTTTCTCCCAGCAAAGTGGAAGCTGACGCCACCAGCTAGCTCATCCCCGCAAAACTGTTTCCATGGAAATCAGGATGGCTGTTCAAACAGCTTCTTTCCCAAGTAGTGCAATGGCTCCCTTGCTGATAGACTGACCTCCAGATTGCAAATCTGGCAAGAGCCCCTAGGAGGGAGAGAGGAGAGGCTCTCTGCATTTAATCAGAACCTTCAGTCTAAAAATCATCTAAGATTCTGTATTTGTGTATATATGTATATTTATTTCTATTTATTTTTATACAATTCCATTGGCATGGTCCTTCACCCACTCTATAATTTGCACTTCTTGCTCCGATATGTGACACACAAGGCAGTATTAAAGAAAGCCAGGAAAATACTGATGTATTTTTTTAAAGCTTTTCTTCAGTGTTTGTCAAACATTTCAAAGTGTCTCCCCAAAAAGCTTGTGTAAGAGTAGCTGCTGCCTTGAGCAACAGATTCATTTGTACCCTGGGTTAAGATAACAAAAGGCCTATGTAATTCTCTTTTCATTATTAACACCCAAAATAAAGTATATCCAGACGGTATTCCCAAAGAATTTGGTAGATTTGGTGTTGGTGTGAGAACAGCCATTGCTATCCAATTTCCCTTTCTTGGACAAGTCTAAGGCTGTGATCTGTTAGATTATACTTGAACTGGACCAGAGTTTGTTTTTTGAGCTTATGAGAAAAAGAAAAACACTAGTTAATTTAAGTTTGAACTTGTAAAATACTGGAATTTGTTGAGTGTCTTATAAATGGTCATCACTTTTCCTGATCTGTATAGTTGACCGTCATGTTTGTTTTTACAAAAAGAAAAGAAAAGATTTTTAATAAAGAGAATTTGAAAGCTTGTGGGTAGCTGTCTGTCATGCAGGGATCCTTTGACATGTGGCTGGGGGAAGCTCATTGAGCACAGAGATTGGTATCTGGTCCCTCTGTGAATCTAGAATGTCTCTGAAGTGTTGGGCAGAGAAGATACAACAGCTTCTACTTGGTGCTCTGGGGAATCGGTGATTCTTAGGGGTGGACCTCTGAAAGGGTTAAGTCTGGGAAAGTGGGGAGCTGCTGTCCCTTTTGAAATATCAGGTAGAACAAGCTCCTGGCCTCTTATAAGCCCCTCATTATTACTGCCCAGTACCCCAAGTCTTCTAGTGGGCTGACTCCCATAGTCCTGCACCAGAACAAGTCAGTTCGTTTCTGGCCATTCCATCGGCTGTGAGATGGTTGATTCCCAGTCTGTGGGCTTGTTAGCCCTGTGACTTCCTAAGTCCTGAGTTCTCAGGCATAAAGGGGGACAATAGTGTAAATCACCTCTGGGTTATTCCAGGTTTAAGGCAACTGCTGGTGAAAACGTGGTTCTCTGCATAGCACTGAACTTTGTTTACTTTTGGAATCTTATGCTCTTTCTCAACAATGTCTTCTGGTCTCCTGGGCCCAGTTGGCCAGTTCTTTGAATGGCCTGGAACCTTCTGTGGGGCCCTTCCCTCCTGTTGGCAGTGTTCCCGAGTCAATGGGGAGGGGCTGGGCAGTCTGGCCCTAGAGGGCAAAGTGAGTGGGGCCGCTTGTAATTAGCTAGAGCGCATTGTAGATCTGAGGAAAGTTCCGGCAGAGCCTGTTGTGCTCCCCAGCCCCACCCTCAGCCTACTGTGGCCATCTGGGAGCTGAGCTCAGGCCTCCAGTTCCCAACCAGGAGGGGTGGAGAAGCATCCTTCCCTGCAACTGCTGGCCGTGCCCCAACGGGCCAAAGTAGTGAATGAGCCTGGAGCTTGTCCTCAGCCCCAAGCTCAGGATGCAGGATGTCTGGTTGTGTGCACGGTGCTCCCTGGAGCTGTGTCTCGTGGAGCGACAAGATGGCCCTCCCTGGAGCTGTGCAGTGGAGACGTCCCTCCAGGGAACCCTGTGAATTGCAGTCTTCCTGCCTTGCCCGAGAGTTCCCATTTTCCCTCTGATAGTCTTAAAGACCCTAGAACCTGGTTCTGAGCCAGTCGACCGAGCCGGAGCCCTGATATTCAGACCCACTCTCTGTGCTTACTTCTCTCCCAAGGATCAATGCCTGCCCCTGGTTCAACTCTGCCATGACCTTGACATTGAGGTTGCTTCTCATAGTCCCCAACTAGGCCAAGGCCACTTGGGATACTGATCTTGGCCCCCCTTTAGAACATCATTAGCAAGCAACGATTTGTCCACAGAGGCAGTAGGAGAAATGGACTCACCCCCGACAGCTCTTCATTCTCCTCCCCCCTACAAAGACACCTGTCCTGACCGGATTTCCAAGCAGGTCAGAACAGGAGGGACCCAGGGACTCTCAAGTCCTGGCCCTTCCTTTCGCAGGTAAGAAAACTGAGGCCCAGAGTGGAGAAGTGATTTGCCTGAGGGAACACAGCTTAGATGAAGGCTGGCATCCAGATGCCCCGGCTGGTACTGCTGAGGACACACAGGGATCTGGGTTCTTTCAGCTAGATTGCTTCAGGCATTTTCCAGGCCCAGCCTTGGACTGGGACCCTCAGGGAGGACTCCAGACAAATCGCTGTTTTTTATGTTTTGTGTGTATCCAAATCACCTGGGGAACTTGTTAGAAATACAGATTTCTGGCCCGTCCGTGGAGACTCTGTCTCCTTAGGTCATAGAAGCACGTGGACACTTGCATTTTTGCAAGGCTGTGGGCGACTCAGTGCGGGTGGAGTCCTCTGCTCACATTTGAAAGCACTTCCCTAGAAGTCAACCAGGGACTTCCCCAGCAGCGCCTGGAATAAAAGGGGCACTTATTTTGCTGGGGGAAGGGCAGGTAAGATGTGAATGGAGATCATTCAAGGTAGAAGAGACACCAGCGTGAAAGAGGCTTGCAGGAGGATTCTCACGGCCATGGCAGATGGAGATGGTGGCAGCTGGTGGCGGCAGGGATGGTCACCAGACTGGGTTTGGGGCACGTGTCAGGAGTTTTCAGTCGGATTCATACTGCCTGTGCTTCAGCAAAAGTCCGTTTCCCAATGGTCTCTTTGTCCTTGTGAATGGCTGAGAAGACTGACTATTAAGACTCCCTGAGATCTGCTGATAGCCCGGCCCCTCTGGGCAGAGAGCTATGCACGGTCAGCAGGCCTTTTGGGGGCCTGGAGTCCCACCTAACAGGGGCATCCCCCAGGGCCATGTCACTACCAGCGAGGAACTGTGAGGCTCGCACACTCTTTCTCCCACCAGGAGAGCCACCACTAATACCGATATTAGCCCTGAAGACCAGTGAGCAGGTCTACATGCTTCACTCTTGGCCTGGTCACTGTGATTCTCCATTTCACAGATGAGGCAAATGAAGCTCAGGGACCCAAAGGGGTTTGTCTTGGGGTCCGAGAGCCAGTAAACGACAGAGGTGGGATTCAAACCCAGCTCCGTGTGACTCTCAAACCATGCTCTTAAGGACTCTTCTCCACTGGCTGTCTCAGGGCTGGAGCCTTCTGTTCCCACATCTCTCTAAAGCCTCTAGAGCAGGGCCACCAGGAAAAACGAGCTCGGGACAACTGGCGAGCCCAATTTAGCTGCGCGCAGGTCTTATGACTGACACCTGGATTGCTACATTCCTGAAACTGAGCTCAACACCTGCCCTCCCTAGAAAGTAGCTAAAGGCAGGCCCCGCAGCCGCACTGCACTGCGGAAAAACAGACCGGAAGGCCCCAGGCACCCAAGGAGCAGTTTCTTCCTGTCCTCGTTTGCCGTTTGCTGGGGGGAGCTGGATCTAGGGGTGAGAGAGGGAGCAGGGCCTAGGGGTGGGGGACTGCTCTGGTTCCTCCTGCTTTGGGGAGGGGAGGAAGGCATCCTGTTCTCTGTTTTCGGGTAACCTGGAGGTACAAGGGTGTGATCAGAAGGGGATTTCCCACAGCCCCAGAATACTGGCCAGACTTTGCACTTTCAACCTCTCCTTCCTGAGTGAAACTTCATTGTTTGTTTACCTACCACCTCTGCCGACAAGGAGTTGAGATGATATACAACACAGGCCACGTGTGTCCAGAATAAACCAACAACAAAAAAAATTTTTTTTAATGTTTATTTGTTTTTGAGAGAGAGAGAGAGACAGAGCATGAGTGGGGGAGGGGCAGAGAGAGAGGGAGACACAGAACTTGAAACAGGCTCCAGGCTCCGTGCTGTCAGCACAAAACCCAATGTGGGGCTTCAAGTCATGAACTGTGAGATCATGACTTGAGCCGAAGTCCAACTGAGCCACCCAGGTACCCCTACCAACAGAAAAATTTTAAGTGAGAGCTGAGAAACGTTGAAGGTGGCAAGTATGTGAGCAAGGGCTGATGGAGCCATGGTGAATACACAGATTTGACTGGGAGCCTCCTGGGAGCCAAGGCAAAAGGAGGAAGTAGTGTCCATTACTTGGCTTTCCTTGTTAGACTAGAAGTGTTCCAGTTTATCTGGAGAAATTGTTCTACTTGACTCTGTATTCTAGAATTCTCCTGTGAGACTGTACGTGGTGTGGGTAGAAGCACTGAGGGGCTTGGGGAAAGTTCTTAGGTAGCTGGCAGCCCTACATGTGAGAACAGTGGATGACTTCTAGGCTGTGTGAACAGGTTCCTCATGTGAGGGTGACATCTCCCAGTGTCAAAAGGCCCAATCTTTGCACACACCTGCCTCGCTCACCTGAGCCAGTTGTGCTGGCTTCAATTTGTGGGTTTTGTTTTTTGGGTTTTTTTTCCCAAGCTATTTTTCAAATTTCTCCTGGTACTTAGCTGATCTAGGAGCCAAGTCCGGAGGACAAGGAGGAGGCTGCTGTCTTCCGTGCCACGTGGCAACAGAGCATTCTGGGTGGGGATCCCGCTGGTCTGGGTTCTGGGAACACCTTGCGGACGTTTACTCTTTGGGGTTCTCCACTGGGTCTGACACAGCCAGGAGGAAGCACCGACCCCTTCAGGCTCATCCTCGGGCCTCCTCAGACCTGTCTGAGAAGGCCTGCCCCTGGGGAGGAGGGGTTCAGAGGGGCTTCCAGTCTGTCTGCAAGACAAGGAGGGAGAGAACTTTCCAGTTCGGAGGCAGGTCCCTGGGCTGAGAATTAGGACCCTTGAGTCCCTGTGTCAGAGCCGCAGTGAATTCACTCAGGCTTGGGCAAATGCCACCTCCCTCTGCCCTTCTGCCCATTTGACACGTGCCCTGTGCTTGTCTGAGGTTGTCGGAGCCCAAGTCAGACATGGCGGGCTGGGGGAAATGACTTCCTGTCAGTCACAAGGGGTGGTGTTTCCTCTGTCCCAGCGGTTCCCGCAGCACCAGTGCAACAAGCCCCAGGCCTGTCTGGAGGTAGGATGCCGTTCCCACACCCCCCCCCACCCCAGGCCACGGCTGGGGGTGCATCTGTGGGGCCGCTTCCTAGTCTCCGTGTTCTGCCCTTTGCATGCCTCGGCCAGGCACCTCACCTCACCTCACCTCGTAACGCCTGGGTCATCTCCACCCACTTGCCCCCCCACAGCCACCTTTCTGGTTCGGCCCTGCTCCACGCCTCCCTCATCCTCCCCAGACAGGCCCTTCTCAGCTCCTTGGTCTTCCCACTGGCTGGAGCGGCCTTGCCCACTTGGAAACTGTGACTTTTCTTTAACATGCTCGGTGAGTGTTCCCTTCTTTATGAAGGTTTGACCTCCTCACAGGTGTTTCCGCTCCCCTGCCATGACCCAGGACATCGTCCTCCCCACCGTACACGCACACACACATGGAGGCCTCTCTTTCACAGGTCGCCCTTGTGATCTGTTTGTAGGTTTGGGTCTACGTCAGCCATTGAGTCTACAAGGGCAGGGAGTATGTCCCCTCCTCTGTGCCTGCCACAGGATGGGTGTCAGTGACCAGCCGGCTGGAGGAACAAGATGCGGCCTTGG